TTGCGCCAGCTTTGGCGTCTAGCAAAACCAATCGAATGCATTCCGGTGTTGTTCCAAACTCTGGTGAAAGTGATGGACAAGTGGATCAGGGATCAAATGTTAGAATAGTGCCAAGTTCCAGACCAGTGATCCAGGAAAAACGGTCACACGCTAGAACCATTGGATCTGGTTCCAATATGCCTTATCCGAACGTTCAGTCCATTGAGCCCACGGACAGTCCCTTGAATCTAGCTAGCAAAAAGCTATTAACTATGCAACATATTCAAATTTCGGAGACACAGACCAGAAGTCTGCCTGTATGTGAACCCGGTATTACGACAGAAACTTACAAATATCCTATATCCAAGTTTTCAGTGCAAGTAGGCGATAAAGCACCAGGCATCGGGATTGCTGAAATTTCTCAAAGCGTGGAAGCCCCGCGAGAAGTGGGGATCGCTGAAGCCCAATCGATTCGCATCGTCGAACATGGAAATAAGAAATTCCAGGTGAACATTGACGTTGGTCTACCTGTTCGACGATGTCCTGTGGAGACACCAGCTACTGTGCGCTACGATGTAAGCTGTGACGCCATGATCAAGAACCCGCAGGTATCTGCGAAGGTTCAGACGGAGTTCCTAGAAGAACCGATCGCTCTGAAACCGACTTATGAGCCCCGAATGTACTCCGAACCTCCGGCGGCTAGAAGGCCTACAGAAGTGGGCGTCCAAATAGAAAAACCCACGGAGGTAATGTCAACACAGTTCGTACCATCGATGTTCGGTAAGAAACTACAAGCTAAACCGATAATGACTGACGCGTCGTGTGGACCGCTACCTCCCCCACCATGTGCAGTTGCAACGTGTCAGCGAAGTCCGGAAACGAACGGTAAGAAATTGCAGGTCACGATAGAGGTACCACAAGTACTCGAACGAATCAGAGTTACGGTACCACAGAAAATGAAACCCACACACGAAAAGAGTACGCAGGCGGAACTAACACAACCACTTGCTTGTGGCCATTCTCAGACGATCGAAGAAGCGGAAACCATTATGGTTACGACACCAACAGTGCAATTTGCCGCTCCACCGACATCATTTGAAGATTTCAGTTGTGATGCACAAGAGCCAGTAAAAACCGCCGGTGCTTATACACAAACCAGTGCTCCAAGTACCTTGGCTAATGCCACCGCGCAAGTTGGCAAAAGAGAAGATATATCAGAAGGTACACAGGCAACAACGACAGTAACCCAAGGTAAAAAGCTCCAGGTAACACCACCACCTCTCGTTTTCG